GGTGTCTCTTAAGTGTGAGATAGAGATGGAACAACTGACAGAAAACTTCTAATGATGTGGAACCGCTATTTGCCTCATATATAAATTCAGGGTCTTATAGTAATCTCCTGGATTAATTATCATGCACACCTCTTCAACTCTACCTCACACCAGGAAATTATGTCTATGCTATTCATCTGCCACAGCTGCAGAGGAATGGACTTCATCCGTGAACCCGTCGCTATCTGTCAGTGTGGTGAATTCTGGTGCACACAGTTATGCCTAGACGTGGTACATTGCATCCAATATTTTCCTACCACCGAACTACTGAAACTTGTGAATCCAGTGCTTAGGGTTAGGGTTAGGGTTAGGACGGTGTACCCCCTTCGGCGAAGCCGTTGGGGGTACACAGTATGAGTAAGAAAACTCACCTCAAAAGTGTTTTGAGGGTTGTGAGAATGCTGTTTAAAGCGAATCAAGGTCCAACAGAGGGATGGGGTCACCATCTCTCACCCTGTTTCGCTTTTATAGCTCTTCAGGGACCTGATTCATAAGCGAATGACGCAAATGAGAGGTTTTGGCGGACCAATCATTTTCGCTTTATCAGCAATCACGCAATCCGCAGCACAAATGAGGTGATACGGTTAGTAATTAAGGTACGAAATCGTACCATTTATTATTCATACTTACTTACTCAGCGGCTTCTTTTTAACCGGTTAGTCATACCATCTGACTAATTTTACCGTTTTGCCATCGGCTACTAAGTTAACCGGGCCCGAAGGCCTAGAACCTAGCCGGCTTTTCGCTGGTCCGGTGGCCGAGTCTAGAACGTCGGACCGTTAGGTCCGGGTTAAGGTTCGGGTTAATCCGGTTAGGGTTTGGGGCTGAGTAAGCATTAATTAGTATAATTCATTAATGCGTGACTGCGTCAACGATTAAGTTGACAGAACTTACTTAGGGTTAGGGTTAGTCCGCTGGCAGACTGCCTGCCATTAGTTTCCGAGCTGTGGAAACCAGTAAGTTCCTAATAAAGGGCGTCGTTAATTTATATAGCGAAGGAATGTAACAATGGTTATAAAAGGGTACGTACCCGACTTGATTTAACTGTAACCCCCGGCGGATTTTTATAACAGTCCAACTACTAGGTAACTGCACCATCTAAAACCGGGTTAGCCGCACTGTGATCCTAGTCTGCCGCAACGACAGAGCCGCGATGGAGTCGCATCAGGATGTGCCCATAACCATATCTATGAAGACCTGCGGATCAACGCTGCTTCTGTCAGAATCGTCGCCAGCAGCAGACGAATCAGAAGGTGGAACGTTTTGATCCGAGGATAGAGAATCTTCATCGTACTTACGGAGAACCATCTTTTTCCAAAGACTGGTCATGTCGAACAGATTTTTAGTACGTTTCTTACTAACTATCGTTCGTCTATTAAGGATACCAATTGTTCTGATATCCAGCATGCCACGAGGGCCTGCCGGGGTTTCAACAGCCATCAAAAGACGGTTGTCTACCTCCGACGGTGGTATGTCTCCATACATCACCGACATATTATTCGGCGCAGTGCCGAGGCGCTCGATTCTTTCGACTCGATCGCGCCAGGTACCCAGGATGATATCTCCGAGTTCTTTCGCTTTGAAATAATTCCACGCGGTATTATATGTGGACTTAAGTACTAAAACGCCGCTGTCATCTCCCCGCTGGGCAGCTACGCCCAATCGATCTGACCATCGTTTAGCAATATTATCTTTCGTCCATTTATACACGTAATCCGCAGGATAGCCGCGTGCGATGTATAAAGCATTTAAACTTTTAATAGCATCTTTGTAGTGCTCATGTTTGCTACTTAACACAGCTAGCCTGGACATCTCACCAATAAAAGTACCGCGTTTAACGTCAAGCGGATGATGTGATATCCATGGAATTCTTTCCTGGTGGGAGCGAGCTTTCCGATAAGGCATGTGTTGTA